TCTTGAGGATAGAAGTACAACAACTTCTGAAAGGTACTACATTCCATATATGCCAATGGTGCTTGAATTCCCAGTGTGCAAGCACTGCAACAAGCGCAACAACATTGCCAAAGCAATCAATTCGGTCTTGTGGGGCCATGGCAGTGAGAGGGGCAATACCTTGCCGTCACTTCAACCGATCGGCACAAGTTGGTCTACGGGAGAGGTGGACAGCACGTGCCGTGATCACCAATTGGCCTATGCCTCCTCTTCTCATCCCCCCGCTCCCTATAACCACACCAGCCGGCAAGACGTTCTGTTTTACTGGCAAAACGAGCAAAAACAGATAAGTATTGGCAATATGTAGTATGTCTTTGATCGGCGAGATACTCAACGAATATTCCAGCTACCACTTACTGTGTATGTCGTACGCCTCACATGGATTCCACCTGCTCCCCTACAACTTTGATCTTTGGTTGCCCCCTCTTGCACCACAACGCCTTCCCCACTGTTTGTTCCCTCTCACCCTAGCAATGCAGGACGCGAGCACCAGCGAACAACAGAGCACTGTAGACACGTGTACAGATACACATGTGCATACACATATAACAAGCTACCACCATAGTCCCTAACTTCACGAGAGAGTGGATCTACAGTAGCCAAGTAAAGAGGATGCACGATTTGTACAAAGAGCACTATGAGCAGCCGTATTTTCGCCCTATTGAACGGTGGGTCCCCAACAAGAGAAACATGACTGTCTCCCACCCCACTCAGCGATCACGCCCCTGCCCCTCCTAATCGTGTTCTTGAACGCCCTTGATTGTGCATCGTGCAATGGCGGTTGCAGTTGTGGATGGTGGAGACAATGGTGGTAATGGTGCTTTGTAGTCAGTTCTGCGGAAGGGCGCGAAACCTCAGCGTATCGTCGTCGAGACGACCACCATCCGACAGCTTTCGATTCGGAGTCGATAGTAGCCAAACATCGCAGAACCCAGGGTCCCATATTTCTTCTTATCGTCCTGCTTCATTTTCTGTTGGCAGACTTCATCCTATTCCGAAGATGCATTGATTTTCCCTTACGGCTGGTCGTATTCCTGGGCAAGTCTGCGTGAAATGGGATGAGACGCGGGTTTAAAGGAAAATCAATCAACAGTTGGGGGTGAGGGTGAGCATGGGATCGGTCAGTTTCATGTTCCTCGTCACCGAACGCATACATGCATCGGGCGACGAGGGCATACAGTTCCCGCGGCAACAAAATCCATTCTGGTGCAGGGGAAATCATGAAAAGGCAAAGGAATTGTTTTTGACGGATACAAGTACTTGCCAGATAGTGTTTGCCAAAATATATGTCTTGGAAAGTCATGAAAATGGGACCAGAGTTTTCTCGGGTTCGCGTATGCACATGCACATGCTATGAAGAGTTCCGCGAGACGAAAATCGTAGTTCTACCGACGGCATACTCTGGTTCCTCACCTCCAAGGGTCCCATTGCCCATGGCCTTTGCCTAGTCTGCTAAGTGCGTAACTGCCCCCCCCGCCTGGCAGTATGGTCTTATCGTCTCCGCTACGTTACAGCCATATTAACCCTTGGGGGTCGCACAGCTGGTTAGAGGCTCCGCCGATGTCCTGGAAAGCTACCGCCGCGCGACTCATGTCGACAGAACCCGAAATCCAAGTTAGTCGACACTTATGCAACACAAATGTACAGGATACGTCGGTTTCATGTTACGCGGCAATTTCAAGATCTACCAACCACGATACGTAGATCCTTTTCTCACCTCTTGTTGTTTGACTCCGTGGAGTCTACGTCGGGCAATTCCTCCGCCTTCTGTGCTTGGAGGCGCGCGAGCTCCTCCAGGAGGCGTTCTTCCACGCCCACTCCTCCTCCTCCGAGAGCAGCCTGGTTCACTTCTGCCCATGCATCGCGGAACTTGTTGTCCTCCGCTGTGATCTAGGCACCCAGCGTAGACAGGGAGGAAGTGGACACGCGATATCGATAAATGAGACCGGGGGCATAAACACAAGCAGCGGCTTGAGTGTGTGCAGGTAAAACCATCTCTGCTGTGGAAGCGTGCATAATTTTCCCGCAAGAGTAGAAGCCAGGTGGTTGAAATGCGCATCCTGTTGAATTCTGCTGATGTCCGTGCATACTCCTGCGGGCGAACGAGCCTCGTGTCACATATTTTGTCGCCAACAGTTCTGCTGTGTTCCACAGCCAACTCTACGAACTTATTGAAACCCTACCCTCAAGATGAAGGGTAAAGTAACAACACCGTCAGTACAAGGGGTGAAAGCGCAAAACTTAGGTGTATCTCATACACACGGTGATCTTGACAAAAGCCATACATCGGAGAGAGCTACCCCGTCCTGAAACCGGTCCTTCTTGTTCTTTCTCCAAACCATTCCTTTCCAACGCTACATCCTACCGCTTCATGCCAGGAGGAACGGACGCGGAGTCACAGATTACCGCTACGTGGTTTCACGCGTTCTGTCGTGTGTTGGCTCCCTACCAGTAGCCCGGAAAGACTTTTCGTACTTGTTCGACCATCACCACAACATTTATTCGAGAACGATTCATGATAGATTACAGAGGTGCTTGCTCAACCAAGCGCCTCGTAAGTGCTCCGTAGGTATGGCGAGAACGAGTTAAAAGTTCTTCCAACAGACAGATGGGCTCCACACACCCGCGTACACACACGAAACCTATCATTTGCATCCGCATCCACCCTGTACTACATCATGTACCATCAACAATGTGCACGTGTTTTGGGCTTGCCTCCTTCTGCATCTTGACGAGATCCTCGTTGCGGCTGGTCTCGAGGGCCGCCATCATCTCTCGTGTCCTGTGCTCGCACAATAGCACACGATCGCCAAAAGACGAAACGGTCAAGTACATTCTCCCTCGCGTGAGTCGCAAAATAGGATACGACACATCTCAATCATGCACCAGTCCCCTCGACGAGAGAAGAATGGCAGGCTTTCACGGCTCACAACTGCACCCGAAGAAGAACATTGTTTTCCCGGCATGAGAGGTGCCCTTGGCTAGAGTACTGTACCGTCCCCCATAAACCTACGAGATACATTAGTCGAAAATGTTCACACGCGAGAGATGGTCCTTGGGTAGTGTTCGCGGCAGCCATCCGTTGCGAAGCACAACGACAAAACAAGTACCCTAGACAAGAGAGAAGGAGCTGGTAGTGTCAACTTTCCCTCGGAAGAACGCATGGTCGGGTTCAGCGACATATATAGGCCTCGCTGTCACCAACAGCGAGCGGCACTTTGACGTACAATGTAAGACGGAATCAGAATACACTGGCCGAGGCCTCCGAGCGCCGAAAGGACACCAGCATTGATTGGCGCATGGCGACCAACTACGATGCAGAAATGGAGAAACGACTGCATGACGCGACATGCGAGTATCGAGGAGTGTTTCCATCCCCCGGCCTCTCTTCAAACTCTCCATCCCGCCCTCGCATGTTCTTGTTCACCCCTATAACCAACCCGAAGCCAGAATGACAGCCCCCCTCCCGCTGGTGTTTGTTTCCCCCTAGTGCAGTACGTACCGCCGCTACGGTTGAAATCTGGCTACTCTTACCCTGGCGTGCAACCACTGCTGTCAGTTGTCGGTCCTCTATCCATGCCCGACCCGGATATCACCTGCTGGCCAAGGAGTCGGTGAAGAGCTTGTGTTTGTCTGCCTCCGCAATCTTCCGCCGGTCCTCCTTCGCTTTCGCCTTCTTCGCCTCCAACTCCTCTTCCAGGTCCTGAAACACGATCCATGGGTGTACAGGGAGTCATGCCGCCACCAGGTGACAGGTTGCGACACGATACATGGTATCATGATGTGACATTGGACTTCTACGTCACGACATTGCTCGACAAGAAGGCATGGAGGTACGGAGTCAGAGCATCAGGACGGTACAGTGAGGCCATATCGCGATCGAACGCGACACACTCGTCTCAGCTAGAAAATGATCGTGGAACGATGCTATTCATCAAGGAAAACACAAAACGGTTTCAGCCACAACATATGCTGCAAACAACGGAAAACACAGGGTCCGGTCAACATGCAATCCGGCGTCATGATGACTAACAGACGAGGCGTTCACCACATCCGAAAGCTGACGATGATTTTTGGCGACCCACGCACAAACTTCCCAAAACATTTCGTATTTCGACCTTGCCCCCCTAACCTGAGGAGGGCCCACGCCGCTTAGAAACAGAGAGTTATCTCGTTTCTCTAGTCCTATTAAAACTCACCAAGCCTTTGATACTTCTCAAACCGGTACCCTCGGCTGATCATGTGTCACTCAAACACACCTGAGCAGCCCGTCTCGTCGCTTCCTCCTCGGCCTTGAACTTCATCGCTTGTGCTTGATACTCGCTCATGTCCCCGTCGTGATCTGGGTCTTCAGCTGATATCCTCGAGTTTAATTCATCTTCAAGATCGCACGAGCGCGCGAGGCTGGCCATCAGATCTGCTAGCATGGCTACACGAGACAGCAGTGAGAGGGCCAGAGTAGACATGAGGAGAAAAGAAAGTTATAGCCACAGAACATCGGCGGGAAATCTACCTCCACACCAGGATAAGAGGGGCTCATCGAACCAGTAGATAAAAAAACAAAAGCACTCGCTTTTTTGTACAACAGGCGGTCTGTGAAGTTCTCTCCCTGTCCAGCTTTCTCTCACCCTCACCTCAAAGCGTGAGAAAGGTCTCCCCCCCGACGTNTAAAAAAACAAAAGCACTCGCTTTTTTGTACAACAGGCGGTCTGTGAAGTTCTCTCCCTGTCCAGCTTTCTCTCACCCTCACCTCAAAGCGTGAGAAAGGTCTCCCCCCCGACGTACTCTGATTCTCTCTCCCCCCCCCCTCTCCCTCGGTATCTCTCTCTACATCTCTCTCGTTCCCTCTACACCTCTCCTCCTATTTGCTCCCTCCCTCTCTCTGTCCCTCTCTCGCTGGCCACCTTCACCGAAAAAATGCCTTTTTTGTGCGGGTGTACATCCTGGGAGAAACCTCTAAACTACACATTCCTCTGGCAGGCGGCCTGGCTTGTCTCGCAACCTCGCTCTCCCGCACCTTCGGCAGACGCGTGCTCCGCCCTCTTGCCAGCGACCGAGAGCTCCTTGTTGGCGACGGCGGCAGAGGTCTCATTGCACTCAGCGACGACGCGAGCGTGTTCCTGGAGTAGTGACATGTAGTTCATCGGTCGTATTATCACGTGCTTCGTTGATCAGATCGGCCGGTCGAGAGATGAAAAAAAAGTAACTTCTGGTTCAACGCCTGGGGATTAACAACTTCCGTGGCGTGTGTTCGTCGACTATTGTTTCCCTTCACGTAGCGAGAAAAAAACTCTTTCGATGTCAAAACCAAGAACTAGAACAAGGAGTCCGCCCTGCAACGTTCGCGAAAGGCAACACACTATCTAGTCGCCAACATCACAGCTCCTTCTGTGCAACGGCAACAAATACGTAGGACGGCTTCCGGTTCTTGGATCAAACGGCAGAGATACCCACATTGTCCTCCGCCAAAATTTCCGCCCCAATCGAGACTCTCTCCGCTGCCGTTTCTTTCGCCACACGGCGTTTCTCCTCTTCATGCGCCGCTTTGCGGGCCTCTGTGCTGGCGTGGGCCGATCTGTCCAGGGGGCCAGTTTCAAACAGCAAACGAGAGAAGAAGGGGGGGGGGGGGGGG